CCTCTCTCTCTCCCCCCTCTCTCTCTCTTCCCCCGTCTCTCTCTCTCTCCCCTCTCTCCTCCCCCCGTCTCCTCTCTCTCCTCCCCCCCCGTCCTCTCTCTCCTCCCCCTCTCTCTCTCTCTCCCCCGTCTCTCTCTCTCTCCCCCCCGTCTCTCTCTCTCTCCTCCCCCCTCATCTCTCTCTCTCTCCTCCGTCTCTCTCTCTCTCTCCTCCAGCATGGGTTCCACTCCGTGTGAAAGTGTGACTGCCTCACTTCGACCATCAGATACGAGGGTGACGGAGGCCAGGCACGGGCGTAGGCCTTCTCTGGGGAATGACACACCCACCCCGCCACCTCGCCCACCTCGCCCGCCTCGCCAGTCACACGCCACGCCCATCGTAGCAGGTGACACGGGTGCGCATTAATACAACCTCAAGTTCGTTTTTCTTTCCGTGACACTTCTGTTTGACGTACGCGCGCGTGTGTGCGCTGGTCTGTTTGTATGGTTACCTATCGATCGTTTATTGACTGTCATTTACGAATACTTCTGTCGTTAATGGCGGGTCTAATGAATGCGTTATCCATACGGGGGCATTATTTCAGCTGTCTGTAGATCATACTCGATGTTTGTCATCTACCTATGATCATTCATTTTGTGTGTAACTGTCTAATATAATTTATTCACTCTAATAATACTTATTTTTTCTTTAATTATTTTTATTTAGATACCATCAGACTTTTCGATACTTTACTTAATAAATTGGTTCTCCTGTTTATAGGTTAATTCCTCAGCTACAAATAATTTACGCGGGGAAATATAATAGATTAGATTTTCATATATAAACTAATTATTAATTTGGTTACATTACAGCAAGTACAATATGAATTCATAAGTCAGAGGAAGTATACAATACATGAGCTCAAGCTTATTAGCGAAGAAAAAAATAGTAATCAGTACTGTAATTCTTTGTACTGTGCTGTAATCTTGTAATTATTCACCAAATACTACAATACTACAATTCTTTGTAGTGTACAGTAAAACTCATTATTTGTTCTATTATCTTTTATCATCATTATCATCATTCATCTATTCATTTATGTATGTTTGCTTTTGCAAGATCTATGAGAAAACATAATTCCTGGGAAAAAACATGAACTTCCTCCAGTTTCGGTTCTTGAGATTCCAAACATGGAGGTGTATGGCCCTAGAATTTACCAACGATTTAACAATTCACCCTGAGCTCCATCATCTGGGTTGCCCTTAATGAGTGATGAAGATAAGCAACTCCTCCATATGGCTAATAGGGAAGATAAAGTTGTAATCGCATTCATTAAACACCAAGTATCATATTAATTGGCTTGAGGAACAACGATAGTTGGGTGGTTTGGGTTGCCAAATACTTCCAGGT